TCAAGTTTGTTGAAGTAATATTTTTGTGTTTAAATTTCTGAGGGTACTAATATCTCTAAATATATTTTTCTGAGCCTCAAGAGAAATCACACTGCAGAAACCTGGAAGTAAGTCTCTAACGCCAGATCTGTGTGTGTGTGTGTGTGTGTGTGTGAGTGTGTGTGTGTGTGTGTGTGTGTGTGTGTGTGAGAATCTATGCCACATGTGTGCAGGTGCCCCGGTAGTCCAGATTCCCTAGAGCTGGCTGGAGTGGTTGTGAGCCACCTGATATGGGTGTTGGGATCTGAACACAGGCCCTGGAAGGACAGCAAGTGCCCTTTTCACCTAGACATCTCTTCAGCCCCCAGAGCACACACTATCACACCCCTCTACACCTCCCCCGTTTGGTTTTGTGGGTTTTTTTTTTTTTTTTTGAAGCTCAAGGACAGTTTATTAGAGTTCAAGAGGAAAACCTCAAGGTAGGCAAGCTGTAAATCTTTAAACTGGAAAGGAGAAGAATGAAGAAGCCTAGCAGAAAGTCCTGCTGCTTGAGATAAGGCGATCTGAAGGTCAGGCACCTGGCAGCAAGTACCCACTTAAAAATTTAAAAAAATATGTGTTGGGGTGGAGACGTTCTCTGTGGTATTTATCTGGAGGCCAGAGGATGGACATCGAGTCTTGCCTCCATCAAATGGGTCCTGGGCCTTGAACTCAGGTCCTAAGCTTGGTAGCAGGCTTTACCTGCAGAGCCACAGTCCTCCCTTCCCCTCTGCTCCTTCAGCAAAGTGGGCCCTGGAGACTGAACTCAGGCGCTTCTAAGTTCAAGACAAACACTTTACAGCTGAGCTGCCCCTTCCGCCCATCTCCTCCCCATCAACCACATCTTAATGCCTCATGGTGTTGGACTTCTTCCTGATGTATCTCAAACCGATGAAATTGATCACTGTTGGATGTGCTCAGGAAATGAGTGCCGCTGTATGTTGTCCGCTGCTAACATAAATATTATTACACAGAGAATAAAGAAGGAATAAACAGAGGCTATTTGGGGCATAAAGCATTTACCGATACCACTCCCTCTCCGTTTCCCCGCAGCTTTTATTAGTTCATTATCGGTTTCTTAACTCACCATAGCTCATTAACATCATTTTCTTGTAGCTTTAAATGCTTGTTTTACAGCTCCTGTATTGAGGAAAGCGAGGTAATGAGACGTGCTTGACAAATAGGGCGTTGGGTAGTTTGGATCACAGGGTGTAAAACTTTAGTGCATACCTGGATCACCTGGGTACACGCTAAAAATACCGATGTCGGGACCTCCCTCACCTAGATTCTGATTCACGGTTTAGTGAACCCCGAATACATTTATATTAGATAAGCTGCCTTAAGTGTTTCTGAAGTTCAAGAACATTTGGGATCTGCAACTGACTCCCCGAGGCTGCAGCGTGGAGGAATCCAGCGCGTCTTGCAGCTGTTGCCACGCTTTTGGTTTCCTCCCCGCTGAGGTTTCCCGGGCGGCTGCTTTTCATCTGCAGATGAGGTTTTGCAGGCTGTTAAACCACGTCCACAATTTGTCCTGACAGCGTCCCTTTCCCCAGAGCTGTTAAAGGGACCTGAGCTCGCCGAGGTAGAGCGTGCCCATGTGACTACGAACCCCGTTGCCAGCGGCGCGGCCATTTTTGAGGCGGGCACTCAACCTTGTTGCCCTGTGCGGCCGGGAGGGCAACGGGGAGGTGGTTACCAGGACTCAAGATGGCCACCGTGCCCGCTAGCCAGCCCTCTGGCAGGTCAGCTAGCCCGCGTGGCGGCGAGCCTGAGCGAGCCGCGCGGGCGGCGAGCCTGGGCGCTCAGGGCTGGGGGCGGGGCTGCAGCGGCCTGGCGGGGGCGGGGCGTCCGCCCTCCTCTGGCTGCAGCCAATCGGCGTGCGGGGCCAGCTCGCCCCGGGCCGCCCGCGCGCGGGGTGTGTGAGGACGCGCTCTCGGTCGCTGAGTGCCAGAGCTGGGGAGCAGCAGTTGCTGTGGTACCTGCTGCTACCGGGGTGGACGCTGAGCATCGGACGCGGGGCGCTGCGCTGCGGGACGGGAAGGTGAAGTCATGACGTCCTCCAGGTAAGCGGAGGGCGGCCGCTACAGCTGTGTCCCGGCTGGGCGTGAGCTCACTGCTCCCGGGAGAACTATCTTCCCTTCCCTTGGATGGACGGGAGCTACCCTTTGCCGCCGGCCCCCGTCACGTTGGATGTTCTCCTCACACTTAACCAATCAGGGCATTTCTGGTGTCCTCCGAAGTTTTTGGGTCTGTGGCATAAGGCGCTGCCCTATTTGTCGCCGCTTGCTTGAGGTGACCCTTGCTCAGATTCCAGGGTCTGAAGCTTGTTTGTGTATGTGTGTAATGAATTTCTCATGAAAATGTCACTACCTCCCGCCCTCATCGACCCACCCCGGGATGACCCTGGCCCCAGGGGAATGTGCCATGCACAGTGTGTGCCCATGCTTGTGTGTCATGCCTTCTGACAGAACTTCATGGTTGGCCATGAGCAGATCTGCAAAGTTGGCACTTCTCATGTAGATTGTTCCTAAGTTGTGAAATTGTGTGTCCCTAAAATATTTGCCTATGACTGAAATTAGTACTTTGGTTCTTGAAGGTACCATATGTTTACCTACTTTTATCTGAGCGTCACGAGTTGAAATTAATTTTGTGAGATGTAGAAATATAATGAAAGCAGACTCACCCAATCACAGATCCAGGATTTTGACTGTTCCTTATTTTTTATTTTTTTGGGCAATGGTGATACCTAAGTTGCCTTGCCCACTTTATTTAGCTTCTACTGAATGTTTATGTAAATTTGACTATTTATAAAAAAGATTACTTTCCTCATTTACCCAGTGTTTTAGAATGCCTTTTTAAAAGTAGATCTTGGCCTTTATTTTCCAAAAGAAAGGGAGACACCCCACCCCCACCCCCAATTTAAAGAGAAGTAAAGTTGTGGCTATAAGCTTTAAAGGACCTAAGCCCTGGTAATTTAGTGGCTTTTTGGTGGCGATTTAGGTACTCACTTAGAACCTAGTCCTCAGGTAAGACAGGCTGCGGCTTGGTTGCTGTCTTCTCTCTTACACACACAATTATGCAGTAAGATGGACAAAGAGTACTGGTCATTATGCAGGAGAAAGTTAGGTGTGGCCATATGGAGACCCAGGTGGGCTTTTGGTAAATAACATTTCGTCATATAAATGTACCTTTTAGAACTAATGGCATTTTTTTTTTTTTTGATGAATTAGGATAGTGCTATATGGCAGCAGTTAATTCCCCTTCTTCTCATTCCTACTTCCCTTCCCATCATCACAGACAAATTAGGTGTGCTGGCCAGATGCCATCTAAAGAATCTTCTGTTCTTAGGTGAATTCTTTTTGTTGTTGTTGTTCTGGGAATTGAGTTCAGGGCCTTTTGTATGACAAGCATATCCTCTGGGTGGTTTTAATTGCCCATTTTCTTCCTGGCCACTCCTCACTGGAGAAACGTCCAGATCTGAAGCTTCTGTTGTTTAGCAGGCAGCAGCAAGATGTGTCTGAAACGTAGGAATCCAGTAGTTGTTTTCAAGACTGGTTTGGTTGATTTCCAAATTACAACCTTGGATGTATTTTGGAAAGATGAATATGTGATAGTGAAGTTTTTGTCTGCTTCTTCGGGGTCTGTTGAAAGTCTTGAGCTACAGTGACATGGATTGAAAAAAATCAGACTGTTGTAGGAACTAAATTGAAGAAAAGTTGAGTGCCTTATTAGTAGCAAAGATAGGAACTGAATCTAGATCTTGATGGCCTTTCAGAAACAGTACATTTTAAATTTTCTGAAAAATTAATACAGATGTGAGACATCTGTAGGAATCTCTTTTTGGTAACTTGGTTCAGGCATAGGCAGGGAGGATGTGGAAGGTGAAGCGGCACTAGATTGTGACAGTTTTGAAAGTCCCCAGTGAGGACTGCAGCTAATGTAATTCTGTGATGTCTTTAACTTTATCAGCCATGATGTTAGGCATGTTCCCCTTCACTGCTCAGTCTAACAGTAGCCCAAAAGCTAGGTATTAGTATCCTTCTCTGGTGATCCCAAGTTATCAAAATCTGACCTCATGTCTTGTGTTCTTGCTTTTACCCCACACTTAAAATAAATTGTTGCTAAATATAGTAATGTGTGACTTTGAAATGGCTATCAAAGAATATAGGATTAGAAACCAGACATAACCAGAATCTAACTGAGGCTCTTTTCTAATTCTTTTCTACCGTGGGTGTTTGTTTAATGAAATACCTCATTGCTGCAATACTAACCTGTGTCCTGCAGCGTAATGGGGAAATGTACTTTCAAACTTTGTTTTGTTCTGGATGTTTTGAGACAGGATCTTTCTGTGTAAACTAGGCTAGCTTAGAGTTTGCTATAATAGCCCAGGCTGGCCTCAAAATCCTTCCCTTCTTGCTTTTATCTCCTGAGTGCTGAGAGGATAGGTGTATGCCACTATTTGTTCAATGCTTTTAAATTCTAAGACATTTTGTAAGTGGAATATAGTCTTGGTCATAAAAGCCTTTGAAAAAAATTTCCCTAGGGAATGATGTCATCTGAAAAGAAAAGATATGTTTACAACTTCACTTTATAGACAGGAAACAAACATCTAATTGCCTCATTTTGTAGTTGAAGGCACTAAAAATTAGATAATTTGTCCAAGTTCACATAAACATGTCTTGAACTAGATATTAGATCTCTAGATATCTCACTTAAGCCTATCTTAGTTGGTGAATGCCTCATTAAATGCCCTTTTTAGTACAGCAGTCAACTCTTAAGACTTTCTAATTATTTTAAACAAAATCTTTTTATTTTTAAGCTTAAAGTCTTGAATGATTTGGCTGAAAGTAATCTGATAATTTGTATTTTATTCTATCCACTGTTAGTGATGAAGAATCTAAATTTATGCCTTACAAAACCAATTGTCCTTGGAGAAAGACTGTTGTCCTTTGTTATGTGTATCAGACCCTAACTGGTCTTCATCTGGGCCATGATAGAGCATAGTTGATAGACCAACACTTTGGACACTCTTAATTGTTCCAATAGCAATGTTAACGCCTAAGCTTAACTAAGCCAAAATACCCTGACCATTCAGACTACACAGCACATACCCTCAAATGACAGTATTTTAAAGTGTTTTCTTTCTCTCTGCAGGAACTGCTTTCCCAATTCAAGTGTTATGTCCTTGTTAGCCAGGGGTAGAGTCTAAGATAGAATGTAGACCTTTGACTACTGCTTTGTGTACTTTTTACTGAGTAACACTTTAAAAATTTCTCTGTGAACATTGCCTTGTCTTCATAAACTCAGTGTGCAGTCTGGTTTGGGGTTGTTTACAACTCCCAAGTTGTGCTAGGGAACCAAGTTTGTGGGACGCAGTGTGGGGGGCAGTGAGGGTATGTGCTGTGTAGTCTGAATGGTCAGGGTATTTTGGCTGAGACTATTTTGGGACTCTGAGTATGACTGTGCCCTCCATCATCATCACTCTGGGCCACCATGGGCTAAGCCCACACTGGAAAGTTCATGTGGGCTGTGGGTGGGGTCCTGGGGTATTTTTCTCTTTAAGGCTCAGGAATTTTGAGGTACATCCAACAGAATCATCCAAACCACTCAGACGGAGAATATTATATGGAGACTAAATTAGGGCTAAGATGGAATTTTATTGAGATGATTTCTTTGAAGCATTTCAGCAGAATTTTCAAATTCATTTTAGGACCTGTGGGTTTCCTCCCTCCCTCCCTCCCTCCCTCCCTGCCTCCTTTCCTCTTTCCCTCCCTTCTCTTTCTTTGAAAGAATTTAAAAATTCAGATTACTAAATAAACTGTTATATTGTGAGGTTTCTTGGTGGCTCAAATAAGATTTTAAGACACACTGAAACCATTTCATTTATGAACTGTCTTGAAAAACTGAAACAGGAACCTTTCCCTTATGTGCCATGTTGTCAGCTGTTAATGCTCATATTTATAAATAGGTCATCTTTGTTTGAGAAAACAGACAAGGTTTTCTAACTCCACATCATTCCAGCCAGAGAAGCGCTACATTAAGCAGAACTGTCAGAGATAAAACTGGAACCAAGTGATAGTCAACTGTCCGAATGTTAACCCTTTCCTGCTGCATTTATCTTGCAGCTATGTCTTCATCTCTGGTTGTTGCTTTTAAAAAATGCTCCAATAAAACATAAATGAAGCTGTCTTATAAGCCAGGTGACTACAAATCCCAGTTTGCCCAGAACAGTGCTGGAAGATGCCTATTATCTTCACATAATTACTGGTAGTTTTTTATTTATTCTTGAAAGTGTTCCATTTGAATAGTAAATTATCTGGTCACCTCATGTATACAGTATAATCATATTGTCATAGCAATTCTTAGTTGTTGAAATGTTATTTGAAATAGGGCCATAAATAATGGCTGTACCTCTTTTTTTGTCTACATCTGGGAGTTTCTCTTTGATCAAATGTTTTTATATTAAAAGAGTTCTGAGTGTCTCAATGTAGTCTATTGAACAAGAAAGCACTTGATGTAAAGTTTAGAATCATTTATTTGCTGTCTGTTTTTTGGAAGGTTATATAATCTTGCTGAACTTTTTCCTAGGAATTCTTTCCTGGTCTGTTAAACAGAGATAATAATAACGCCTTCCCTATTATTGTTGAGTTGTGGGGATTTAAAAAGGAGCTCACATGGTGGAAGGAGAGAGCCTACTCCTGAAAATTGTCCTCTGACCCCCCACACAAGTAGCATGCGCACACGCACGCCACACAAACACACATACACACACACACACACACACACACACAGAATAAATATACAAAACCAGTTTTATATAGCTTAGAGGAATTTGCTATTTAGTGGAGCATTTACTATTTCTTAGAACTGTTTTACTGTCAGGAGAGCAGGGATATAATAGAGGAGCTGGAAATACACACTGGAAATGAAGACTTGGGGGGCCTGGGGTTGAAATACCAACATGTTTGTGTGTTGAAAAGAATGTCCCAATAGGAAATGAAACAAAACAAAACAAAACAGATAACGCTGGTCAGAGAGGAATTATTCTAGAATATGCATCCAA